TGCCAACATCCTTCCCCACAGCAGCTGTGGCTCTTGAGGGCAGGCGTTATCTCGAGAGGAGTATGAGGTGGGCAGGAGCCAAGCAGCTCTGCAGGGTTGGGTGGTAGCACTCCAGAGCGGTGCCCAGGGGACGCAGGGCAGCCCCAGGAGGACAGCACGCCGGGAGGGAGGCAAGGAGGGGACGTGGGCAGCACCCACTGTTCTCAGGGCTGTCACTTCTCTTGCAGGATCTTTTCTCACCCCAACGTGCTACCGGTGCTGGGTGCCTGCCAGTCCCCCCCAGCGCCCCACCCCATTGTCATCAGCCACTGGATGCCCTATGGCTCCCTCTACAACGTCTTACATGAGGGGACAAGTGAGTGCTGACAGGGGTGACGGAGGCAGGGCAGAGGCCAGTCTCGCCATCCTTGAAAAGTTGTTTCTCCCTGTGTTCAGGGGTGGCAGGGGGCCCCTCCAGCTGCAAGACCAGGGTGGGCCTGGGGTGAGCGTGGCAGTCTCCAGTCCACGTGTCTTCCCCACACCCGCGTGGGGGGTCTGCCAACACCTCCGCACACACACAGAGCAAGTGACCTGGCCACCCCCCCCACCCTCATGCCACCTCCCTCCCTGCAGACTTTGTGGTGGACCAGATGCAGGCAGTGAAATTTGCCTTTGACATCGCACGGGGCATGGCCTTCCTGCACACGCTGGAGCCTCTTATTCCACGCCATCACCTCAACAGCCGCAGCATCATGGTGAGTGTCAGTGTCGCGCGGCCCAGCCTGTCCCTCCCCCTGCGGACTGGGGCAGGGCAGGTCCCCTCTGACCACCCCTCTCCTCCCAGATTGATGAGGACATGACAGCACGGATCAGCATGGCCGATGTGAAGTTCTCCTTCCAGTGCCCGGGGAGGATGTACGCGCCAGCCTGGGTGGCACCAGAAGGTGAGTGCCCGGTAGCCAGGCCCCTCCTGCTGCTTGGCCCCTTCCTCGCCCCCAGCCTCATTCTGCCCCCCGTGCTGGGTTCCCTACAGCCCTGCAGAAGAAGCCAGAGGAAATTAACAGGCGCTCGGCTGACATGTGGAGCTTTGCAGTGCTGCTGTGGGAGCTGGTGACCCGTGAGGTGCCGTTCGCAGACTTGTCCAACATGGAGATAGGCATGAAGGTGAGGAGAGGGCTGGGGGCAAACACATGGGTCCGGACCGGACCGGCCGGGGCGTGATGGGGCCAAAGCAGCCAGCAGGGAGGGAAGGGGAGGCCAGGTGGGCGGCAGGACAGCCCACCGACACTCCTCCCAGCCAAATAGGGCTGGGTCCAGATTTCTGATCCTGCCCTGCTTCCCGTGCTCCTAGGTGGCACTGGAGGGGCTGCGTCCAACCATCCCACCTGGCATATCCCCACACATCTGCAAGCTGATGAAGATCTGCATGAATGAGGACCCAGCCAAGCGCCCCAAGTTTGACATGATTGTGCCCATCCTGGAGAAGATGCAGGAGAAGTAGAGGGAGGTGCCTCCCAGCCACCTGATGCTGCCATGCTTCCCTCCCCACCACCCCCAAGTGCCTTCTTTAACCCCAGAGCCAAGGGGGGAGCAGGGAAAGCCCCCTCACCCTGAGCCAGCCACGGACACACGGTACAGACCATGCTGCCTTCTCTGAAGCTGCTCTGCAGGCTTCAGACACTCTAGCACCAAATCTATGGCAGCACCTCCATCCTCCCTGGCAGCTACAGGCAGAGACTGAGCAGGAGGCCTGGCCCGCGACACTGAACATGGCTGGGCTCCTGCTACCTGTGAGGCTGGGACAGGGCTGCGGAGCCACCCTGTCCTCCTCATCCCGAGGCCAGCTCATCCACTTAAGTCTCACATTAGGCAACGCCCAGTCCTGGTGCTCTTCCCCACTAAGGACAGTGGGGTGAAGCTTGCCTGTTGCGCCCAGCACCACCCCAGCTTCGCGCTTCACTCTTTACCGTTTCCATCCAGGCCATGTGGAAAAGCCGCCAGCATCTAAAATAAACATTTGTTATGAAAACTGGCCGCTGGTGGAGGGATGCGTACATGCACAGGGTGTTGTCCAGAGGAAAGTGGGAACGACTGACTCGGGGACTGCCCAACAGCCCTCCGAGCCCTGGGCTCTGGATCTGCGCCTGTACTAACCCTCCTCCAGCGACTGGAGCGAGGAAAGCAGGTAGGCTCACAGCACCCTCCTGAAAGCAGGGCCAGGCCATCTGCACAGGCCCTTGGGTGCTCTTCCTGAGGGACAATGGGCATGCGTGGGAGGGAAGAGAGGAGGAGGGTCAGGCATTTGTGTTCCCACTACACCTGCTTTCCTTCAGCTTCCTGGGGCAGGGCTCAGCCCTCCTGGGACTGGCAGAAGGTGCAACCAGAATCCATCAGTTGCAAGCCCTATGGCCCACCCCTCTGCGCTGGCCTTTCAAAGGCACAGGACCAACCTCTGTCGGTGCAGCAAGAAGAGAGGCCCCCACAGGCCAGCTCACATGCCGCGTTACTGGTAGGCAGGGCATTCACGCACAGGCAGGAGATGAGATGCCTTTCCACAAAAGAACTACCCAGCTGTTTAATGGCACAGAAGCGACCCTAAAAAAGTCCCCAGTGACAACCCCTCAGTCTTTATGTGAAGTAATGCGGCTTTTTCACATTGATGCCATATTCTGCAAGTGCTGGTGTCAGGTCTTCCATGGTCAGCGTGTACTTCTTATCCTGAAGGGACAAGGAGTAGCATCAGTCACAGCAAAGACAATCTAAGCTGCCAGGCATTCCTCAAAACCTTGTGGGTTTAGGGTTTCTCCCCTACAAGCTGTGGTGACCTGTACGTGCACAATTCCCGGCAGCAGCTGCAGACCAGTGTTTGGGGCATTAACCAGCTCTTAAGTACTGCATGTTTCGTTTGCTCTGTGCCCCCAGCTGCTCAACGGACAGAAACGCACTGAGCATTACTCAACACTGTGAAGGCAAATGACATCACCCTCATGAGGCCCCCGAACCACAAACAGATGATGACTGGGAAAATTCCCAGAAACTACTGCCACACGCTTGCTCCCCATTTATGTTCTTCCCCAAGCATCAGAGTTTTGGTTGCTGTCAGAGGGAGGACACAAGGCTAGATGGCCCTCAGTCTGATGAGGTGCAGCTACTCACACATTCCTGTGAAGCCATCAAAGCATATTCCACAAATTTCACTGCCCACCTCGTTTTCCCCACCGGCAGAGCCTGAGCTTACGAGTAAGGAGCACAACAGGTCTAAGCCTTTCTACAACCTGCATCCCCACGTTCAGTGGCAGCAAGTTTAGCTTGCTGCAGCCCCAGGAGGGGACGTTTCCCTTCATCCAAGTAGCCATTCCGTCCTTCTCTCACCTTGCTCTTATTGCGGGAGCTGCCTGAAGCTGTTCCCTTCATCTTGCAGTGCTGCAGCGCATCATTGGCAATGTCAGAAATAAACTTCTGTGCGGCCAAAGAGATCAAACGAATGCTACCCAGCAGAGAAAGAGAAGGGATAATTTCAGACAGGCAGCACGGAGCACCACCAGGATCAAGGAATTTCTGCCGGGGCCCGCAGCTATCAGACCCCGTATAGGGTCTTTACCGACTGCCACTTACATGCGTGGATCGGAGGCCTCGAATCCTGCTCTGTTGAGGTAATATCCCGTGACAGCATCTGGGATCTGCACAAGAGAAGAGGTGGAGGAACTCTGCTTCCCTGCTGCAGCCCGTCACCAGCGTGCAGCCTGCCCCCAGCGCGTCCCGAGTACCGTAGGCGTGTAATCCTCCAGCTGCATGAGGAAGTCCACCAGCGGCGTCGTGGAGACCACCGGCTTCACGTCCCCGTTGGCCGCGCTGGGTGGCACGTAGACCCCATTGGACATAGCCCCTTCAGGGGGAGCTGCAGCCACC